ATTCGATGAAGAATGTGGACTATTTTTGACAATTGGTGAAATTTGAAACTCATAATTGTTAATAAGGGACAGTAAATTTCTATTGGAATTTTTTCGTTATCCAACCAAATTTATTGAATTTATAGATCAAATTCATTAACGAGATGGAGATAAGGAACATGACCAAACAGTTACTGAAATCATTAAGAAACACGATATTGCAAGTTTACAAAAACTATTTTATACGAACAATAATGATCGCATACGATTTCTCAACAAATTCATATCAGAAAAAAGGAATATATGCCTCACAGACTAATGAATATTTCATTTTTAGAAGCAATTTTCCAATTCAAAAATAAATGGCTGTCAACAATAGTTGCCATGCAAATACGGCTTGAGATATTATTCGATCTATTATGTCTGAAAAACAACAGAAATGAGCTATGAACCAGGTTTATCCAACTTCAAGATACAAAGGCGAGTGTCATTAGAAGATTGATGTAGTATTGAAAACATGGAAAACATGTAGTATGGAAAACATGTAGATCAAATAATTGAGAAAATTCATTAAAAACAGTAAACACAGAACTTCATTATCAACTTCATTATTGGATAGTCCGGGAGTACGAAGTGATTCTTGTTAAAAAAATTTTATTTTGGTCAAACGGAGATAACCGTCTTCAAAAGAATAAAAGACGATGGAAGTAATGCATTGGTTGCAAATCATTTTCCGGAAGAAGAGCATGTAAAGAGGAAGTTGAAACACTAAATCTTTTAGAATACTTGGAATTTGAAACAACTCCTAATCAGATGTAATTGAATGAATTTCTTTGGTGACTTTATTTTCTGAAGAACAAATAGGTAGATACCTATTTTAGCTAAGACAGAAACGGGAATCAAGTAATATTAAATGTCCATTTTGCTGAGATAGATTTATTATTGATTGAGTAATTAGTAGAGGTCTCCATGAATCTATTTATAAATGGACTGATCCGTTACTTGATAAATATGAAGAACACAATTAATGATAATAATTGAACACCGTAGCATCATTACCTGCTACCAATGAAGCTACTATGTTAGCGAATCACGTCTCGAATAAAAAAAAAATTGTGAACATTGTTCAATTATTATCATGGATAAATCTATTTATCGACATGTGAGAGGTATGAGGAGTTTAAAATTAATATTAAACACGGCTTTAGGAGATAAATAGTAAAACATATTATGCGATTTTGTAAAGATGTAGCAGAAAGTTACTCTACCAATCAAATGCATCTATCTTGAATTTTCATCTTATACCAATCAGTTGCATTACAAAAATTTTATCTCTTCAAAATTTCATACTTTCATTTATTCTGTGACTTGATTAAAATTCTTCAAAAGTATTTAACATAATAATATCCTTAATTCTTTGAAATCCCTGTATCAAACTATATCAAATGGAATATCGCCGAAGTTTTTTCAATGAGCCCTTTCATAGAGGGTGATTGGAAAAGTAAATTTCCATAAAGACAAACAATTTTGCTAATCTAAGCAGAACTTATGGAGTATTCAAAAAATAATCTCAATGAATTTCATGAAAATCAACTGATGCATCTCGTCTTTGGGTTTTAGATTTATTTCGTGACACGGTGGTACATTAAATGTACTGCAAAAAATCACTCAGACAAAAAACAAACCAATACATCAGCGTGTAGATGAAAAAAGCTGAAAAAGTTATTATCTCTAAACTACCGAGATTATAACTACATTATCTACGCCTTAGCATTCATTCCCACAATAATAAAAGGACTGTAGAAATTGGAAACAACACGCTTTATGATATACGTTAACTCTCTCAACTAATGGAAAAAATACTGCGTTGGGATCATCGCAAAGACAGCCATGAAATTAACAAACGAGTACCTACAGCATTCAGCAATATGACTCGAAGCTAAAAAATACTAAATCAGTATGAACCTCGCTGAAAACTGTCACGAATGGGCAATTTGAACTCGATGGCGGAGCTCCATTAATATTCAGAGACAAAACGATCAATTTTTAATTAACCGAGGCGCAATAGCTGAAGAGTTGATAGTTTCAAATTTCTATCCACGCTCACTGAATAAATTATTTCATGTTATCTAACTACATGAGCATTTTGCATCTTATGAATAATTTTATGAATTTTTTGTAGTTTGAGACTACAAAAATGAGAGTACTAAAAAAACTTGATCCTATCAAGGATTTCTCAGGCTAGAACAACTTTTTATCATTTTTCATATATCTTCAGTGACATAATGAAGTTGAAATATCATTTTTCGAAAAACCGCGTTCAAAATTTACAGAAATGATTGAAACTACACTGCATTAAGACAAATAGTTTCTAAGATATTTTGAAGGATACCTTTTGCAGCACTAAACTTTCAATTCGATTTTTTTTTAAACATATCGTGAATTCAGTTATTGTAATTGTGAGTATTGACGGGAATTTTTTACACCATTATAATGTCCCCCTTCTTATTATCACTGTTTTCTTGCCACTCAAACGAATTCAGTCCATGCAGATGTAATTCAATATTCTGTTCATTACAAACATCTTTAACACAGACCATATTATTGTCTGGGATAACAAGAGTACAACAAAAAAGTCTCAAGGCGAGTGACGTAATTAAATCCTGTTATCTAAAAATAGGTATGCTTCGAAATCAGTTGGCGGAGGTGTTTAACGAAAACATTAATCAATGCCCAAGAAATTATATCAGAAATGAAAAGAGACGTCGATGTTGACAAAGTAGAGCTATCTCACATAGCAAATATTCACCATTTAATTGTAAGTGGTGGTTGCATATACTTATGCAACGTATTTATAAAATGTATTATTAATATTATAATGCTACAATGCTGAACAAGAATGTGTATATATTTGATATAAAACGTTGCAAAATGCACAATACCCCGATATGTGAGATATGTCCTTATGAAAGTTCAGAAATATGTAAGTACGTTTCTTAATCTTCTTAATCTTCTTAATCATCTTAATTTCTGAACGAAAAAAAAAAACGTCAAAGTAGGACAAAAATAACGTGAAACGAATTCATTTCAAATAATTACGACAAATGTAAAAACGTGGCATTTCTGGTCTCCAAGAGTGCTATTATCAACTTTCTTCGATCGAAAAGAAGTACTGTGTTACATCTTTTGATACGTTTTTCGATTTTCTGTCCATCATTGGTTCATTTTTGGAAATCACATCATCCGTTCCCGAGTAATTGTTGGTTCGAATTTTTTAGGGATTATGAGTGAGAATGATGAAAAGGATGATTTTAATTTAAATTTCATTCAAACTTACTGAAATTTAATTCAATGAATGTTCAAAAAGTTACCTATTCACTTCCTGATAATAATGAAGTCATGACATTGCATTATGGAATATTTTTGGGGTAATTTCATTACAATCACGTTGTTTCTAAAAAAAACTTCGTATGAATATATTTTTTTGAATTTCTTGTTTACCTGTATCAAATAATAAAATGATTTTTTTCTGTGCCAAGGAAAATGTCAAGATATATATGAGTATCAGTGTCGGGAGCTGGTTTTAAACAAAATTAGTATTAAACTAGCAGTTTTTTCTTTTAAATATTTGAGGAAACTGGGAAAAAATGAGAGAGAACCTTGAGTTATAACGAAACATTGAATTTGAAAGTTTTACATGTAAATGGTATCGAGAACTTTATAGAATTAGTGCCAATGATTTCTGCATATATTCTACATGGAGACTGTGTTCAAAATAAACATTCGGAAATGCTAGAAACTGAACAAAAGGTTTTGCTTCTCAAAAATTTTTACTGAACGACAACTATTCAAAACAGTCTTTAAAATACCAATACTTTTTTGTAACGAAGCAGATTACTTCAATTTTCCACGTGCTTTCAACAATCTCTAATCATATTACTTTGGCAGTCTTTCAATACGAACCTAATAACAGTTCCGAGAACATACAGTGCTTATGATATACTTAACAATGAGGACCCTGAGGCATATTCTCTACCTTTGTGTAAACGGAATGTTATATGCAAACAATATTTTTATTCTTCTGCGATGCCTCAGATTCGTTGAGCCAGTTCTTGCCGAGAGCATTATGTTTTTATGATTGGTGAGGATGAATGTATACATCGTACATTGTCGAGTTTGTCGTTTATTTCTTTTCATTTAGCCAGCAGAAACCTCCGAATTATTTTTCAATTCAGCAAGAACAAGTTCAGGTCCTCTTTTGAGTCTATCACGATATTATGGCATTGATATGAAGATCAGTTTTCAAGTAAGTTATGTCCTCATTCTCATTCTTGTTTTTTGTAAAAAACGTATCTAGTTAGAAAAAAAAAACATATTTGTTTTGTATTTTCGAACAGCTCTGATAGTTATATATCCAATCTAGTTCACACATATACGTTATTGATGTTAATAAACCAGAAGCCAAGTGGTTTTGTGAAGAATAATTTCTGAACAAAAACATTTCAAAATTCTCAAATATTGTTGAATATTCATAAAAGGTTTTCAGCTGAAATGAATATGACGAACTTTCATTGTTTCCTCTTCAGAAATTAATAGACCAGATTTGCACAAAAAGGACTGGACATTTAAAATAATTTTTAGTTTGAGGAAAAGCAGAAACATATCAGGTTTTCTCTTCGAAATGTAATAGTGCAAATCCCGAATGGACGTCACTGTAAAGTATGAAGAAGAATAAAAAAGTATTCTTTATAGAAGTAAATGCCTTTTGATGTATGCCTACATTTCACAAAAAATGTAGGGTTGAAGCAAAAGTATCATAAAAAATATATGTTTTTTGAAATTTCAGAATTCTGGTGATGAAAAGATTATGTACTCACGTTAATAACAAGTTTATATTTTTTCAAATTGGTCGCAAAATTGACTTCTTTGAATGTCAGCATTCGTTACCAAAACACCTCGTACTTAGGGTATATGTGTACGTCGCTATACAACCGTAACAATGCTACACGCAATGCACTCACCTCTGTATGCCGTAAAATCTTCCTCCAACTTCCTACTCCTCACTGACGTCGCTCCGGTGATCATATTATCAACCGCCAGCCCGTGCCTTCTCCTGCACCTCCATGCAACGACCACCAGCACGATAGCGAACAACACCACCGCCGCACCCCCTCCCAAAAGCAGCTCCAAATTCTGCCGGCCGCTCCCAACGTTTTCCCCTCCTCGCACCGCACTGAACAGCACTGAAAGAAGAGGCGAGTCTGCTCCCTCTTCCTCTTCAGGAACGACGTTGACATCCGTTTCCGTCGACACCTTCTGAGCTCGACCCGTATCCAGATCCATCATCTCGGATTTAAGGTTCTCCACCCCGGGAATGCGAGAGACCAGCTCGACTTGTATGTGATAAATAGTGTCCGGCCACAGGGACAGGGTGACGCAGGTAGAGTCGGTGAATAAGTTTCCTTTCAAACCGCCCCCATCCACTTCCCAGGTCACCAAGTAAACACCGTGATTTGCTTTGGCCTCCCAGGCGATCTCCCCGATCACGAGAACTTTCTGATGGATAAGCGACACCTCTCGTAGGGTCCAGAGGTCGCTCGCAACGCTTCTGCTTGTCGTGGCCTTTATCTCAGTGTTGATCGTCTTCTTCTTCTTTTTATTCTCGCGCAGGCTGACCTCGTCTGGACTGTATATCGTGACGAGTCCCTGGGGATCCACTACGAGGACGCGTAACAAAGCTCCGGGTTGATCGTTGTTGGATGGGACGCGAGTCGTGTGGTCCAGGGTCTGGATTATTTGGCGCCAGGGTCCGGTTTTGGTTTTTCTCATCACCACGAAGACGAGAGGGGTTTTGGGGTCTACGGAAGAAGGTCGAGGCCAGCTTGCCAGCTGTCCTGTTACGTGGATTACCCCTTCACCTTTGGTGTGGATCACTGGTTGTGTTTGCTGTGTACGGGCTGCCGCTTCGGCATGAAACCGACAGGCCTCCTGGCATCCAGGAAACTGAAATAAAATAACAATATTGAAGTATTTCGAAGTATGTTTTATGTGGTGAATAAATATCAATATTGGAGTGAGAACTATATCAAATAAAAGTCTTTGCAAGAAAAAATATGACAGTTTACTTGAAGAGAGCATAGAAACTTGCTTGACTTTATGGATAGAGACATAGATAGATGAACTAAGATAAACATATTGATGACCAGAGACGTTGAATCTTTTCAGGTATCTATTGAGAGGTATCCGTAGGTACAAAAAATACTTCATAGGCTTCAGGGAAGATACTCCCAAATTCCCCCGCTCATAATACAAACAAAGCATCCAAATAGAACTTTGCTCTCTCATGAATATGTTATTCTTTTTTTGACAGTTGGATGTTGATCGGTGAGATAGAATTTCTCTCAGTGCCGCTTGGCTACCCGTGAATTTTTGCTGGTTTATGTGTGAGGTTATTTTCTGTCAATCTATCCACAAATAAACCAATGCCGTAGATTTCTGTCTGGACTACGATTGCGTAAGATACTGGGCAGGTTGATATATTTGTCCTAGTTCTGCGACTGTATGTACCTATAAAAGGCGTTTTTGATTCATCTATGAATCAATAGTACATAATCCTTGGTCTGATAATCATTACATATAGTCAATGGATTTGTCCAGGCCCTCAGCTCCAATATTTTCCTTAGATGTGTCTTCGATATCTAGAGGGTTATGTGTAGTAGTGGGTGAGATAATATCTACCTAGATATTTCAGGTTCCTTTTTCTGGTGTGGAGGACTATTGAAAATTATGCCGTCCAAAATCAAACTATAATAAAATTTTCGAAGTTCCTTTTGTAAAACAAGGTATTTATTGAATATAATCTACCTTTGATGTTTCTGAAGCTTCCAAGACAATATTTCAGTGAAATACCTTCTCATTAATGGTAAATCCCAGGATTATGCACAGACATCGTCTCTAATAGTTATTGAGCGTCAAATTGGCTAGGCATTGTTGCAAATCTCCAGTGGGAGTCGATTTCAGATCGCAAGTTCCCCATAAACTTTGCTCTAACTCTCAGTGACCACACATCTCCTAATTTTCTAATAACCGCCGACACCGGTCAGCTTGACAACTATAATCGATAATAATTATTGAACATCTAATTTACAATTTACATCCGAGCGGGCGTCGCCCTAATCACGCGGTAATTCCAGAAACCTGACCGGTGTAATTGCATTTGTACACCTGAAGTCAATTAAGCATGCAACGGGCGGATGCAGACCGTAAAGGAAAATGGCAAACGTTGCTTTATATTTTGCTTTGGAAGATGTGTAGTTATTGAAAAACCTAGGACTGTGCAATGTGCTCCCATCTTCATATTTGAGGGAGGATTTTCCAGGAACGGACTGGGGTGTAAAGCTATTGAGTAGTAGTTCAACATTTTAAGTCAAAAATGCCAAGAGTCACTGAAAAGTTTTATTTCAACCAACAGAAGACTCTTTTGAAGAAAAAAAGTGACGTCCTGTGAAACTAGTTTCATGTCACTTCCTGTAGTTCGTAGATTTGTATGGGAGTTTGAGGAGTGTTGTCGGTTTTTGGTTATTAATGTATTTTATAGTTGAAAACCTTTGTTGTTTGAAAAACCGATTGGAAAATTAATAATAAATCAATTAGTTAATTCCATCTGAGTAAAGAGTGCGAGAGTATATAAAAAATGGCAACAACCTCAATTGTTAGTTTACAACTGGAAATTGATAAAGAAAACACACGATAGGACAGTGCATCTGAATCGTTTTAAACAGTTCCTTGTGAGTAGAATGAGTGAGGCCTGAGTAAAATGAGGTATTTTGTGAATGCGTTATTACAGGAAGTATAAACTTTTCTGCAAAATTTATGTGTGCGAATTACCCACAAGAAAAAGACTGCGATGACCATGTGGACTTTTTAAATGACTATTACTGCGGGAAACGGTGTAAAAATTGTAAAAAAAATTCATCAACGCGTGATAATCATATACACTTCAAAATCGTTATCTGAGTGCTTAATGACTCATGGAATAATAGATTGATCCACAGGTGAATCATCCTCTCGTTTTTTTAGCTAAATTCACTAAATCTAGATTTGGTTTATTCAATCTGAAAAATAATTAGAAATATCCTGAAGAAATTCCTAGAGTGAAGAATAATATACAAAAATCGAACCAGTCTTTCAAAATACTTTGAAAGATGCAGGAAACACAACTTCACAGTTGGTGAGTATATGCTGAAGATTATGGTATTCTATGAACGAGAACGGGAATGTTTCCTGCTTATTCATCAAACTCAAACAACTGTTCATGCAGCTGCAGTTTCGTAAGAAGGTATCATCTTTCCCTCCAACCGATTTCCTGGAGTCTTTGAAGTCCACTAGATACTCGTTAGGACAACAAGTGGATTGTTCCGAATTCTTGGGGTTCTTGTTGAATACTCTTCGTGAGCAAAACAATAGCAAAATCAATACTCCTGACCGCTCTGGACTGAATGATTCCGTACAACCCATCTCGTCTTGTGTTTGTAAATCTTTTGCTGGAAAAATCCTCACTTGTTTACTTTGTGGTAAACGTTCAAGAAGTACCGAAAACTTATGTGAATTTCTGGAACTTCATCTAGCTTTTCCTAATACGACTAATTACCAGTCCGTGCAAAGCTTATTGTTAAATCATCTGAAAATGGAATTTTTAACAGGTGATGATCAACTGTATTGTCAAACATGCGCCAAACTTACTGACTGTTATAAGGAAACAAGTATAGCTCAGGCACCAGTCAATCTAATAATAACACTGATGATTTTCAAACAAGACTCAACCTCTAACGGAAGCAAGAAACTCTTTGGAAGGTTCGAAATAGATGAACATTTCAACCTAGCAGACCACTGTTATAATATTCATGCAGTCATTGTACACTGTGGTTCTGGTGTTGAATGTGGTCATTATTACGCCTTGGTCAAAGAAGAAACGGACTGGTTTAAGTTTGACGATAGTCGTGTCACGAAGTGTTCTGGCGATGCATTGAATTTATTGGAGCCTCTGGAGACACCCTACATTTTGTTTTATGAGAGAGAGGACATTGTTAGATCAAGATCTTCAGATGATGTGGTGCTGCAGGTTTTTCCGGGTTTTCCTGCAGCTGAAAAAGCAAATGCGCCACTGGAATCAATGAAGTCGCCCTGGAGCGCCAATTAATTTTTATTGTTGTATTTATTTTATTTTTATCGTTGTTTTAACACATTGTAATAATTTCATAAAAAAACTAAATTGTGGAGTTAGTCACATTATAGAAATCTTGAAAACATATATTTGGTGAAAGTTCATGAAACTAACTTGACATCGGAAATAACATCAACACCAACTGATACGCTGTGATATTTACCATATTGGTAATAGAAATTGTATTTCCGATAACAAATAGCTTCCGAAAATTAAAAGGTTTTATCAGAAGTATTCGCTAAAATGCTTTGCCGGTAGGTGTTAATGACAATACGATTTTTATGAGTTTGATACTTGAAATATCAACAAAGAATGTGAAGCTAGCACTTCAACAGCGATATACAATTTCATCAGTATTAATGACGATTGGTCCTCATTGTATGGCATATAAAGACGTTATTGAAACTACAAGCAACTTGGCCTTGAACACAACTTTTGTGAAAATTTCCGCTAATTTAGAGGAATTACCACAGAACTGAACATTTATAAATTTATCACAAATCAATAATTAATCGTTTTCAAAATAGACATGAAATTGCAGCCCATTTTCTAACACCATTGGGCTTAGCCGGGCCTGCTCACATACATCTAGACTGCTGCATCGCACACAAAGACTTTCATCGTAGAACACCAAAATAACCTTCTATTAAATTACACTTGTTCTTCTTTGATCTTTGTTTTACGTGCTTTGTTTTCCTGAAATACCTATGCTCGTATTCGAGTAGACGGGGAATTCTCTCAGGACACACTATTCAAATTGAAACGATGATTTTTTTTCGGATATTCTCCTTCATCTTCTAGCGTCTTTTGACGCTCGATTAGGGTAGTTTGTATTTTTAAACATGGCAGTTTTGGGAGAGAATGAAGGAAATTCGAGAAGGGGAAGAGCCAGAGGCTGTATCAGTTTTATGGTTATGGTAAAGCGATGTTGGTTCACGGTTTTTTTTTCCATCAGAATGCGAATTTCTTATCACAGGAAAATACAATTTCGTTAGGGGTTCAGACATGGCTGTAAATCAAATTTTAAATGTTACATGAGTGAATTTCGGAGGGTAATTTTAATACCTGATTAAACGATATTTAGTGCATGTGTATTCACCAATTGTAACGTGACAATATTCAATAAAATGTTCTTCAAGATCAACGCAACAAATTTTGAGGAAGGTATTTGTATGTATGTTATATTAGAAAATATAATATACATGCACCTTTTTCTATGGTTACCCAGGAAATGACTGCATATTCAGCACATTTCTAGGATACTCGAAGAAACGCACATCTACATCAGTAATTCCTGATCCTATAAATATGGGAGAGAAAGAGAACGCCGTATTATTGATGATATCGCGACTATCCATGTTCGTCGAATCTTAATCACATTTGTAAACCTCTTTATTGTAATTCAAATTTGTGTGTATTAAAGTTTATTAAAAAAAAACACTGAAAACCACATAACAAATTGGCGCAGTCAGTAGGATAAAATCATAAATGAATCATAACCATAATACCTAACATATTTTGTAAATGTAGAAAAAGGCTTTCTATGCAAATTGTTATAATGCCATCAAACAATGATGATCAACCACCTGCACCCAGAAGAAATTCTGCATCATTTCGAAAATTACTCCCAGCTCCAGGTAGAAGACCCAGTATCACCCACCTAGAGAAACCAATTGAGGAAGAAATCGAACTAAATCCCAATAAAACATTTGCTTGATTGAAAGTTGCAACACCACAATAACTTTCTTTTCAAAGGGTAAGTTGTTATATTAGAAAAGTC